ACATTCCAAAGTGTTCGACCCCTTTCTCAAGCAAGTAACCTGTGAGTGTGTCTAGTAAGTGCCCTTTTACTAATGGAAATTGCGCAGGAGATGGGCCGCAAGGCTCAAGCTCATCAATCCTGGGCAGACCCAAGTCAAGAACCATTTGCAGGAACAGTGTAATTATCTCGACAGTCGAAGAAAAGGGGAGGGCATTCTTTTGTCAACCCCTCGTACACAATTGTTGTCATAATTTTGTCCACCCTACCTCACTGACAAGTCGCAGGCTGGTGGAATTACAATGGTTTGTATGAGGCAGGCGTCTGCATTGCTGTTTGTAGTAGTTTTTCTACCTATGTCTATTTCTTCTCCTGATTGTTTAGACACTGACTCCTGCAAGGGGTCGTACCCATTGGGTTATTTATCAGCTTTTTCGTTTTCATTCTCGGTCAGTCATCATTTTTGAACCCCATTGCCTACAATCGTGGAATGAACCTTCAAGGCCGGAGGGAACTGTCAGGATATGGCAGTGGGTCTTAATATTCCGAAAATCACTGCGTGCAATGAGCTTCGTGGTGGCCGAATGACCCTCACCCAGCCTGGTTTCTGATTCAAACGCCGAAATAAAGAAAGGATGAAGGATAGTCGGCGCAATTTGCCGACGGGGGGGGGGGCATTTTGCACTTTTCGTTGCTTCACTAGTACTGTGACTCTTTGAAGCTGTACAGCTCGTCAAGCATCAATGGTAAAACCTGTCAGACCCGAGAAGAAACAAAAAAAAGCTTTTTTGGTTCCCTAGACGATGTCGACACGTTGATGGGAAGTCGTTGAAAGTGCAATGCCCCCCCCCCCCTTCGTCGCCCAGACAGCCTTCGACACCTGACTCCGTCAGAATCCGTAAGTGCTTCTTTGATGCGATGTGTAAAGGTAGAAGGCAGTTGCTGGGCGTCCTATCTTGGGTAATTTTCTTGGTTATTTGCATGAATGCAACAATTTGAGAAAGATAGGGAAAGATGATGTGCGCCTTTGTTGCATCAGAAATCACTGGGAGCATAATCAGCGTGGCGTAACCCTCAGGCTCTTATCGTAAATTTTATTTGTCCAGACGCTGCTTAACCATGACCTGCTTGCATTCACGTGAACTTGCACCGATTACGCTAGATAACTAGTTGACGCATTTTTCATCTTTAGCCTTGATTTAACGCTTGGGAAAACTCTATGATCAGTCGTTAGGGCTTTCAATTGCACTGGACATGACACTGCCTTCTGCAATGGGACGCGCCCTAATCGGGGCACATTACGGGGATGAGAAAAATCGCTCGTTTAGCGCGATCCTTTCAGCTGGAAGTCTAGTTTTGCCTCCTTTTACTTCCATTAACTCCTCGACACAGGGAGTGGGGAAGGAATGAGAAATGTTCGATGTATATGCCTCGGCCATATTACAGGTTTGACAAACGTGGACATCGGCTGGGAGTGGGAATATTGCTCCACATCGATCATACCCCTCAGAGGCGTTTTTCGGCGAGACGCGCTGACAGTCGGCCGGTCCTTGGTTCGAATCCCGGGTCGACTCCCGCCTAGGCCAACCACGCCTCTTACCCTCCAGGGACGGTGAACTGGTACCAGATTCGTCTGGGAGAATAAACACTGACTTGTACATCGGCTGGACCCCGAAAGTCATTGTATAGGCCATATCGCAGTCAATAATAGTAGTTCAAAGGGAGAAATCACACTAGTGAGATGGGCGGAGCGATCCCGGGTCTGCCTCTGATCTCCTCGCCCTCACTTTCAAGGAAAGCCATAAATTTTAGTGCAACTTTCTTCTTGAGTACTTCTACTAATGGTTTGAATCCTAACCGTTCATTGCTTACGCTTTGAATGCGAGTAAATCGATTGAATTTCCTATCTTCTCGATAATACCCTTTTTTAGATTTCTTTCATGGACACCACCTTTGGTTAATCCAAGATAATGGAATTTAGTTTTACGGACGTTCCCGTCTCGGATCCGTTCCTGTCTCTGGAGACGAATCTCGAAGACATTTCTGGTAGGTCTTTGATCTTTCCCCTCTGGGCACTCCCCTACCCCTTCGCGAGCACATGGCAGCACATTTTGTTTGGGTTTTTCGGCAAGATAACACCCGACGGCACACGTATTCTCGCTGCCAGCGACACCTTCCTGCTTGTTCACTAGTAAACGCTAAGTCACTATGGTGAATTTTCCAGTCAGGACCCATTGCATAGTGAATGAGTTGGAAAAAGAGATGTACGGTGAGTTTATTATTCTCGTAGTGTAGTTGTAGTTATCATTTGCCAGCAGCAGCAATTGTCGCGGAATGCTCGGGGGAAGATGGGGGCTTGGGGGAGGGGGAAAGCGGTTGAGATTCCACTTGCATAGTCTGCACTGAAGCCTCGATTATACCTTTTGTTAGTGGATGGGAAAGGAGTCTTAGTTGTGAGTTTGAGTCCGCAGTTTTTCGTTAGGGTTACTGTAGTGTGCAATTCTCAAGGGGCCCATGGGAAGTTACCTCACCAAAGAGACTTCTTACACGCCAACTTTCACGCATTAGTAAGTGTCTAACTGCCAGAGCCCCCGCTCCCCTCTTAAAAACTCCAGACTATCATAATCCTGACGAGAAAATCCAAACCGGCCCCTCCGAAGACACATTGCGCTGTGAGTTGTCAAAAGCGACCATAAACCGCAGTTATCCAGTTTGAACATGTACCAGATATTATGGGAATTGTCACAGTGTGCTACGCTCGCGAGAGAGAAGCGACGCGGTCCGCAACGCGTGTCGCATCACATCCATTGCACTATATGACTTATCTGAGCCACCAGGGCACAGCATTCGATGGGGATTTTGGTCGAGCTTTTACGACCCCCCCTTTTTTTCAGGGGCTGGTACGACCCCCCCCCCATGCTCGTACGATGGCTGACATGGCTGACTGTGGTTGTGGTTTATACTCGGCGAAAAAGTTGTCGAGCGGGGGTATGTAGTAGGCATGCGACGTACATCGTACGGGCGTACATAGTACCTATAACACAGAAAATTCATAAAACTCATGAAGTGAACCAACGTAACGTCGCTGGCGCCAGAAAATACGACCCCCCCCTCCCAACAACGACCAAATACGACCCCCCCCTCCAAAACGTCCGCAAAGCGAGAAAAATCAACTATAAAAATAAATTTTTCCCAGCCCAAATACGACCCCCTTTTGGCGGCCAAATACGACCCCCCCCCCATAGGGAATCCCCATCGAACGCTGTGCCCTGATGAGCCATTCATTCACAAGAGTGGAGAGCTCAGAATTTATACGAGTCTCCGCTAAATACATACACCTGAATATACGGTGATCGGATTTACTGACTTTATTGAGTTTTTAGAATAATCATACGCGATCGGATGCGCAGGACAATCTGGCAATGGACCCCTCGTGGCTGTCATGAACAAACCACAAAACCAGTGGCGGTCCAATTCCAGTATACGAACACAGTCAGTATCGACGAATCAGCATAGCACCACCCCAGGACTACTACGATCCGAACAGGTATCTTCTAAAGGATATCTGATTGTGGAAGGTTAGGGAAAGAGGGAAATTTAGGTTTAACCTATGCTGCTGTCAATGTGTAGGGTACAATATTTCCGAAGATCATTTCCAAGGGAAAACATACGCTAAGGGAGATCTTTCCAGGAATCGTGAGATCGGTTCCATCGTTTCGCTCCTGCAGTCACACTCTCCACCATCGTCGGATCCTTACGCTGCAATGAAGTGAGTATTTACTCGAGGACTCTCAGTAAATGTAACAGCTGGTTTCGGCGCTGTTCGCCTTGGGAGGGGCATTTGCATTTTGCACTTTCGCTAATTCTTTTCGCTGGTTTATTTATATTAACTAACAGATCTTACTTTGATCGCACCTCTAAACTCCTGCGAAGTTACGAAATTTTCCCAGAAAACTTGCTCAAAAAATTTTACAGCCTTTACCAGGCACTGTGAACTATACAAGCTTACTTGTGTATCATTCGGTGCCCCCACCAAGCCGAACTGCATCGTTGGTTCCGACTCCCTCAAGGACGTTCAGCGCGTTTTTTTTCTGTTGATATAACTGCGCCCAGCCATGAGTTGGATCATTGACAAGCATTTTTAGGTTTTCACCGCCGAATTTCGACTCGTCGCTCAACGGTGGTGGTCCGGCGAGTATGCTGCCAAAACTTGGCCCTCCAACAGTACCACCGTTACAACTCAACCACTACCAACCGAGTTCATTGGTGAGTTGTCCGTATTTCTATGGACTAACTTTTTACTATTTCTTGCCCCACCATTCATTTCATTTGGAGGGGAGCAAATAGTTAGTGAAGGAAATTGTGCCCTCTAGAAACAGGTCAATAGAATTGAGTATTCGGAGAGATGCATAAGCCTTCTTCAAGTAGCCGGCTAAATCACGCCTGACTGCTTTCCACTCGAAGGCAGTGCACACTGATCACATGAGCGGAGTCAGTGTTCCCATCGCGCTTTCCTCATGTGCATTTTCCGTGGTGAGGAAACGGAAAGCGTAGAAGAAGATGCGAGCATGAATTGCGCATGTGGAAAGCACTAGTCGACCTGGAGGGAGGATTTTGAACTTTCGCCGGTTCCTTTTGTTAGTTCATGTCACATTACTGGTTTTAGTTTGGTGACACCCGAACTTCTGTCAATCAGGGAAATGTTGAGCCGCTTTGTTCACAGAAATTCACAGGTGCTACAAGGTGATCTGCACAAGCTCAGTTCCATTCAGTGCTCCCAACAAGCCATACTGCGCCCATGTGGAGTACATGTGCAACGCACTGGGATCGGAAGACGAGTCCTTTCGAGAATGGACCTTCAAACGGGCGAAGTCCGCACAATACAAGACCTTAACCGGCTGTAGGGTAGGGAGGTAATCCGTGGCTCTCAGCCCCGTTTACAAAATATTTGTGCA